CCAGGTCATGCCCACCTGGGTGTCCCTGAAGGCGCTGAACTTTGCCTTCTTCTATTTTTGCTCTGTACTATCTCACTTGGTGATCTCACCAGCTCCCATGGGTTTAATTATCATCCCTGTGCAGATAATTCCCAGATCTCTTACATCTAGCCTTAGTGTCTCTGCATCACCAACTGGTTTTAGATAGCCCAAACTGAATGCTCTATAGCCACCTCAAATTCAACATGTACAAAATCTACGCCTCTTCCTAGCTTTCCCATTACTATATATGGTACTCCAGCCCCCAGGTCACCTAGGGCCACAACCCCCATGTCACTGCTGACTCCCAACTCTCATTCATCCCACGTAGTCAATCCAGTGCCAAATCGTCTTTCTTCTTTCACATCTTTCCCGTATATCTCCTCTCCACTAATGCAGCCAACACTCTTGCTCAGGACCTCATTACCTTTTTATTGCAATAGCTTTCTAAATGATCTCCTTGCCTCAAATCCCTTCCTGCTCCAATCCATCTTCCACTCAGATGCTCAGATTTTTTTTTCTAAAGTGTAAGTCTGACCATGTCACCTCCCTACTCAATGAACTCCAGTGCAGGAGTAGGTAACTTGCAGCCTCGAGGCCACATGTGGCCCTCTAGATCCTCAAGTGCAGTCCTCTGACTGAATCCAAACTTCACAGAACAAATCCCCTTGATAAAAGGATATGTTCTGTAAAATTTGGACTCGGTTAAAAGGCTGCACCCAAGGACCTAGAAGGCCACATGTGACCTCAAGGCCACAGGTTCCCCAACCCTGCTCTAGTGGTTCCCAATTACCTCTAAAATTCAATTTAGAGTCCTCTGTTTGGCATTTAAAGCTCTTCATAACCTGGCCCCTTCCTACCTTCTCAGTCTTCTTACACTATATTTCCTTCTTTGCCCTCTATAATCCAACTACACTGAACTACTTGCTGTTCCCTTAAACATGACACTCCATCTCCCATCTCCCCACCTTTGTACTGGCTGTTCCCTTCTCCAGTTTTATTTCTACCTCTTAGCTCTCCTGGTTTTCTTCAAGGCTGGAGTTATTCACATGTGAGTTCCTTGAGGGCAGGGCATTACTTTTCTTCTTATCTCCAGGGCTTAGCACAGTGCCTGATTCGTAGTAAGTACTTAATAAATACTTGTTGACTGACTGTCTGGGCTGTAAAATGAGAGGGTTAGGCTAGATGACCTCTAAGGTCCCTCCTCTTCTACTTTATAACCCGATGATCTATGATTCTCAGTTCCCATGATCCTGGGCTTCACTTGTTCAGAAACTGATTGAAAGTCTCTCGGAATCTATCTTTTCAACCTGTATCACTTCTTGAGGCTCTGAGGTCCATAAGCTTCCTATCTACTATGGTAAAAATCAAACTTACTTTGAAAATTGGACTCATTGAAGCTTCCAGGGGAGCTCCTCTGGGTCTCCTCCTATCTTTTTTGGAGAGAGGAAGAGGGGGAGAAGTCCATCTTCAACCTATCCTTATTCGTCCATGACTTTATAGATTTTGTTCACAAAGACATGGGCTCGGCCTTTGTCTTCCTGTCTGTATCCTGCCATCACCTTCCTGCCAGAAGACTAGGCAGAGTCTCCTTCTTCTGACCCAAAGACTTCCATGTACTTTCCTTACTTAAAAGGAATGTTGAGCTTTTTTTTTCTTAGGCTGCTTCTCATGGTGGATATGATAGGTGGGAGCCTAAGTCTATTGGGAGATTATTTGATGCAAGAATGATGCACAATTCCCCACTATTGGTGAGTAATAAAGAGGACAATGTTTTCTTCCCGTATGTATCATCAGCTAAGGGCTCAGAATACTGCTGTTTAGGATTCAGTCACTCAGCACAAACACCGTACTTTATTTATTAGCAAGGCATTGTGCTAGGCATTGGGCATATAAAGACCAAAAAAAGGCAAAACAGTTCCTTCCCTCAGGGCGCTTACATCCTACTGGAGATGTACAAGATGTATACAAGGGAAGGCAAACCATTTAAGAGATAATTTGGTGTTCATTTCAGCTATCAGCAGCTCAAGCGAGGCACCCCAAATAATGAGTCCCTTGATCCTGGCTCCTAGGTAGTGTTTGACTCTTAAAGACAAAGGACACTGTAGGAAGATTTGGTTTTTGAAGGATTTGAAAGAATGCCCATCTTTTGTTAGCCATTGTGACCAGAGTGATTGAAGATAGAAAGGACCAATGGAGTTATAAGAAGCAATTAGGTTTTAGGCCAGGGCCCAAGGAGAAAAGTAGCCACCGAAGGCATCTCTCACCTGCCTACTCCAGGGCCAAAAATGTGTTTTCTTATTTCTCAGTGTTTCCTTCTCACTTCTCTCCTTCTCTCTCTGTTTGTCACTGTCTTCTTATGTCCCATCTCTCTCTCTCTCTCTCTCTCTCTCTCTCTCTCTCTCTCTCTCTCT